GGGTGATAACAACTCTAATCCAGTTTGGTCTGGATCCTACAGACTATGCAGAAACTCATCTGGTTAAGGTTCGTATTTTATCTCTCCTAACTAAACCAAAAGCTCTTTCTGTATCATTCACTTTACCACAACAATAGTTGTACTCAAATGATTTGATTGCTATGTTATTGTGATGTTTTAAGTTACTGGACTGCAGCGCTGGACATTGACTTAAGTGTTTGGGTGCGAAGCTAGAGGGTAGAAGTAGGGCAAATTCTACTTGAATTGAGTTATCTATAGTAACAGACAGAGCCATGGGGCTCAGATCAGAGGGATTTGACATATGGGAAAGGCTTTTTGCCCCCAGTGACTCCATAGGAGTGGAATTCAATAAGCACATACTCTCTCACACTAAAGACAGTATGAGTCATTCCCTTTCTACTGTAATGGACATTCCTCAAAAGAGGAAGCTTGTACTCTACTTCTTCCTGAATGCATCACATATAAGTCATATTTGATGATTTGGCCACGAAGACACAACTAACACAGATGGCCTATTCCAGCCTGATGTAGGCCTAGTAAGATGTGATAAAATACCAACAGGTAATCACAGTCATGGTCTGTCATGGTGATACCCAGAATGACGTGATCAAACACAGAAGCGTGAGCAGTCTGCAGTCTGTTTTGGCTGGGAACATGTGGAAGTGGGCTTCCCGCTGGCCTGGGGGTTTGCAGGGGATGCTGCGACGTCATTGCAGACCCCAACTCACACACGTACACACATACTTCCACATACACACGCCCTCATCTGTGCACGCATTCCTTGGGCCAGGAAGATGATGTCAAAATAATGGGAGGAAAAGGAAATGAGAGCTGTGTGAAGATCTGGCCAGGATCAGAGGACTGTCTCTAACACTCCAGCAGTCTCCCACTTTATACTTTCACCTGATTTCGCTCACTAGATTATCTTTAAAATGGCATCTCTGCATTTCGTACCCTCCTCCATCTCTCCATCTCTATATCAAGCTTTCCTTATTTTATTCTTCCCGTTTCCTTTGCTTTCTATGGATAGAGGAAACTGAGGAATGCTGTGCAGGAAGCACGCTCATTCTTTTGCGTCATTGCTTCCTCTTCCCTCACCAATTTCCTTCGCTATTAGGTCATTCTCTTTCACTGGGCTAATTTGCCACTTTTCATAAAGGACACTATGACAATGACTCAGATTATTGATAGTGCATAACTACTCTATGAGCTGTCACAGTGCTAGGTACAACTTGTACCCATGACATCATAATTCACCTCACGGTTGTAGTCCATTTGTTGTACCTACATAAATGATACTGCAACATACTGTAAACTACCATTCAAAAGTTTTTTGGTCGGTAACAGTTTTTTTAATGTTTTGACAGATGTCTCTTATGCTAACAAATTTCAATTTAAATATATTTTAAAATGTAATGTATTCCTGTGATGGCAAAGCTACATATTCAGCAGCCATTATTTCAGTCTTCAGCGTCACGTGACCCTTCAGAAATCATTTTAATGTGCTGATTTAATACTCAAGAAACATTTCCTCTTCTTAATGTTGAAAACAGTGCTTACTATTTTTGTTAGGCATTTGTGTATGATTTTTTGATAAATAGAAAGTTCAGAAAAACAGCATTTATTTGAAACAGATTGTTTTTCTAATATTACATTACTGTCACTTTTAAATTATATCAATATATGGTTGGCAAACTACTAGATCATGACATGACTTATCTCAATGACACAATATGAGACAATCACATTTCTTACTAATCACCCAATGGTCTGGGAGATTCTATGTAAACATGTTGTAATGTAAAACATCAAGCCAACATTTGATTGTCTGAACTATGTATTCCCTGTCTACCCAGACCAAATCTCACTTTCAATATCCTTTAGTCAATATCCACAGTCAGGATGAATGTTTAACAGCCAAACAATAATGAAACTAGACTCTTTTAATGCTTTCACAGGGAAAAGTCTTATTTCTTTTCATTTATGCACTCTTTACATCTCTTTTCAGTTACACAATTTATTGCCGTAAATTAAAGGAATTAAATTACACTTAATCAAACACATATTCACACTCTCCCTGTGGTTTTCTCTTTCTGCCAAACCCTTCATCGCTCCACACTTGACACATTCCATTCTCATGTCATCTCAACTTTCCTCATCTGTGTGTTTCTCTTATCAACAGCATGAGCTTTACTAAAACATACTTGTAGTACCAAATGTTTACTCAGTCAAGAAAATCCCAAGTTACTAATTAATCGCAACTGTCACAAGGAATCAGTGTAATTTGTATGTGGCTTCAAAAGACGCTGACCTGAATAGTTTTTATTTTAAACTAGAAAACAAGTGCTTAATCAAAATAAAAATATGTTCATAATTTTCCAGGAATCTGACCTCAAATCATACTGCAGATCTGGAAAAGAGATTCTAAGAAGTGAATTACTGACCACACACACACAGTCAAAATCAAATCACTCTTTTGGATTCAAATTCTAAACACCAATAAAAAAATCTTAAGCAATTATCAACAATCTCAGAGGCAGAGCTCTCTATGGACACAATTCCACAGAAATAGGTCAAACACACATACGAATAGCAAAAGGAAAATATACAGTGGATACACTTATACCAGCAAGACTGAATTCCAAAGATAAACAGATAATCACATATAGCCTGTTAAAACATGTTTGATAATGGAACACAGACTCATATGCTATCAGAGTAAAAACACACACACACACACACACACACACACACACACACACACA